TTCTGAAAATCTATTTCTGTCTGTTCAACAACCTAAAGAACTGGAAGCAGGGTTTGGACATCACATTTCCTCTTTATTCCCATGTCACTTGGCTTGTTTCAGCACTTGACTCATGGCCCAAGCATATTTGCTTTCATCCTCTCTCTAGAGCCCTCGGGTATTGGTTTTCCTTTTGTTTGGACTTTGGGGAGAGAGGACTGGAAAGTGTTGGTGTGCTGTACAGAGAGTAAAGACAGAAGGTATGTTAGGCGCTTGTTCCTCAAAGTTAGAAACAGAATGCCCCTTCCAGTGCTTTTCTTTCTATGTTAAAATCTTCACGCAGAAAATCATTCATTCATATCTATTTGTAATATTAGTGTGCAGATTGGTTTTTGTCAACATAAACCATGACATAGCTGGGAAGCAGGAAATCTCAGTTGAGACAATCCCTCGATATGGTTGGCCTGTAGGCAAGCCTTTAGGGATTTACTTGATTAATGATTAATGTGGGAGGGCTCAGTTCCCTGAGGGCAGTGCCACTCAGGGGGTATATAGGAAGTAGGCTAATCAAGCCATGAGGAGCAAGCCACTGAGCAGTGTTTGTTCCTGTCTCCAGGTTCCTGAGTTGGCTTCCCTCAGTGATGGGGTAGGACCTGAGAGTTGTAAGCTGAAGTAGACCCTTTCCTCCCCAAGGTTCTTTTCATCATAGAAACCATAACTAAGACCATTAGTATGGCCAAATCTCACAAACACTTACACACTTAGTCACAATGATAACATTTGATAAAACAGTATATATTATCACAACCAGGATAGCAAATACAAGTATAATTCAATGGTGTCATTGAGAATTCTCCAGTGGTGTGTGTGTGTGTGTGTGTGTGTGAGAGAGAGAGTGAGAGGGAGAGAGAGAGAGAGTGCAAGAGAGAGAGTGCAAGAGAGAGAGAGATTCCATTTAATTTTATCAACATGTAGATAATTTCATAACTACCATCACAGTTTCTGGTTATGCAACACACAGAATAATTATTTTAAGTAATTAGAACAATGTCATAAATCTTGGGTGTGTCTTTCAATCATAAATATCTTTGCATACATTGATCACTTTCATGTTTTATGTATACGTTTCACCGAGGTCCTGCTTATGCTTCCTTCACTAGTGTTCTGGGATGATTACTTCATGCTTAAATACAAATACATGTTGTCTATGTAAATGAAATATATTTTCCCAGCATTTTAGCCAAGACCAGTATTTTTCAAAGCTTACATCCTTATTGTATTTACTTTTCACTATAGTGCATGGACGTATTTTATAGATGTTTGATTTTTTTTTTTCCGAGACAGGGTTTCTCTGTGTAGCTTTGGAGCCTATCCTGGCACTCACTCTGGAGACCAGGCTGGCCTCAAACTCACAGGGATCTGCCTGCCTCTGCCTCTGCTGGAATTAAAGGTGTGCACCACCAATGCCTGGCTAGATGTTTGATCTTTTGAAAGTGGTGTTTCAGCTGTTGATAAAGGAGTTAGGTGAGCACTTCCTGCTGGAGGTGGGAGCACATGCTCCCTCCAAGGCTGTATTCACCACTGTGCTACCCACTGCCATCTGTGTGTTTCTCTTCCCCCCCCACTCTTCTCCTCTCCCCTCCCTGCCGCCTTTTCTTCTTTCTTCCCTCTCCATTTCCTCCTTCTTCCATCCCAGCCACCCCTGTGAAAGTGTTTGTGCACTTACTTTTCTTTGGTCTATCATTTAGAAACAGCATTTTTTTCCCTCTAATGGACTGTGGCAGAAAGTAATAAAATTGTAGTAGCTGTGACGTGGGCTTTATTTGAAATTTAATATGTTCTGTGAAAAAAATACTGGAGATGATTCACAAATTCTTCAGAGAATAAACACAAATGAAATTTCTATATCATCCTGTCGCCGGGGATACCTATGAGGAATCAAGTTAACTGCTCTTCTCCCTTGTGTTGAGGATTTAGGGTTAACTCTTCTTGCAATGATCTATCTTAATGAAATTTAAGTATTTGCTTTTCTGTACTGGTCAAGTTGTTGAGAAAAAAACAACAAAAACAAACAAATGAAGGGATTGGGTGAGCCTACTCAAATGTTTTTTGAGGGAAATGTTGATGTAATAGGAACAATGAGAACCGAGGCTTCTAGTACTGGAATACTGGATGCCCCTGATATGATGCGATATTCAAGGGAATTAAAAACATGCAGCCCTGTGGGCTTGGTTACACACCCATTTATCTGTCAGATACTCACCGAGTACTCACAGAATTCCGTCCATGTAAATAAGAGCATCCTATGACACAGTAACTTCTTGGAAAAAAAAATTCATGTGGTTTTGATTTATTCTGTCTGTATTCTCTCACCATGGGCCATTTACATTTTAAATGGCTTCCCACTTTCCAGTGAGTTAAATTCTCTTAACTAATCTTTCATTTCTCTAATGTGCTTGCCTTGAATCCTTACTTAGAATTTGGGGTTTATCTTGGCTAGGGTTAGTATGGACAGCTAGTTATTACCTTGACCTTCCTGGGAAAGGAATCCCACCCCATGCTTGAGATATACAAAACAGAAGTGATGATGCCTTGTATTTAACTGGCAGTTTGTTACAGAGATGGGTAGGGGCAGAATCCCAAGGAGGTTTAAAGAGTGAGTCAGAAGTTGTGGAAATAGGGGACATGAGGAGGGCACAGGGGAAATCCAGTGAGGAAGAGTGGAGGCCAACCACAGGAGCATGAGGCCCAGCCTTTATATGTTAGGTCTGTCCTTTTAGCCCATTCATTTTCATGGCATGCATGTCTTCTCTCATCTTCTGCTAAGCGTTGTGAGAGTAGCCAGCAAGTAGGAAGCTTGGTTGGAGAAATAAGTTGTGGACTCAGCTGTGGTCGCTGCTCATTGAGTGATGTGCCTTTTCCAATTGAATCTTCAGATGTTACTATGTGGTTACCGAGAAGACCCAGAATTATTAGGAAAGGGGAAGGCATTACTAAGGTGTCTCAGAAAGGTTCACACTGGAAGGAACCAAGAGTGCAAGGCTCTGGAATAGGCTAGTTTTTCAGAGGCTTATAGATTAAGAAAAGGTAGTAATCCTGCTTCCACTTTGTTCCGAGAGATCCTAGTGTAACAAGCATGATAGTGCACATTTTGTGTGCATGTCTCTGGCTCACACTTACAACATGCAGTGTTCTTGTTTTCCAGTTTGGGTGAATTTCTTCATAAAATAATTTCCAGTTCACCATTTTGTCAAACTAATCTTCCTTCTGTGTCTACTATTCTTTAATCTTGTGGAGTTTTGCTAAATAAGCCTCATCTAAGGTTCACTACTGTTATGTTTTATGCATTTATTGGTTGTTGCCCTTGGCAACCATTGAATTATCTTAATAATACCCTCATATGATATTAAATTAGTGGCAGACACTCAGCACCACCACTGAAGTATTATAGAAACTTATTTTCTAGAAAGTTAGTCTAAAACATCTTGAAGGTGTAAAGACATTTTTATTATTTTTTATTTTTTATTAGTTCAAATTAGAAACAAGTTTGCTTCACATGTCAATCCCTTCTCCCTCTCCATCCCCTCCCTCCAAACCTCCCCAATCTCCCACCTCAGCCCCCTTCTGCTCCCCAGGTAGGGTAAGGCTCTCCAAGGGGGTTCTCCAAAGTCTGTCATATCATCCTGGGCCGGGCCTAGGCCCTCCCCGTGTGTCCAGGTTGAGAGAGCATCCCTCTATGTGGCATGGGATCTCAAAGTCCCTTCTTACACTGGGGATAAATACTGATCCACTACCAGGGGCCCCATATGCTGAGGCCTCCTCATTGACATCCACATTCAGGAGTCTGGATCAGTTCCCTGCTGGCCTCCCAGACAGCAGTCTGGGGTCCATGTGCTCCCCCTTGTTCAGGCCAGCTGTTTCTGTGTGTTTCACCAGCCTGGTCCCAACTCCTTTGTTCTTCATTCCTCTCTCTCTGCAACTGGGTTCCAGAGTTCAGTTCAGTGTATAGCTGTGGGTGTCTGCTTCTGCTTCCATCAGCCCCTGGATGAGGGCTCTAGGAAGGTATATAAGGCAGTCACTTTATGCAGTTTTTCTAGACTTGTTCCATCCCGCCTGGGCCCTGTGCACTACACATACCCCTCATATGTCAGATGTGGGAAAAGAGGCCCCTCCTTTTCATTCATGTTGGCATGGGCATTGGCTAAGGATAAAAACAGTCAGGCTCATGCTTTTAAACACTTCAGCTTTTAACTTGTCTGGGATGGCATGCCATTTAACATTCTTCAATGCATCCTAGGAGAAAGAAGCAGGGTGGGGTGTGGGGGTGGTGACTCACAAAGCAGAAATTACAAAACCAAAAGAGATTGGGGTCCAGCACTACATACGTTGATTATGGAAGAAAAATGCATATGCCCTCCATGTGAACTCAGATGTGCAGTGAGCACACTGGCATACTAACATGACTGCACCTGTTTGTAAGAAGACTGTATATTACGTCATGTATGTATGTATCTCACTTGTACACTTGTGATTTCATCCAGTGCTGCTGTTTTCCTTTTCTCTCTTAGGGTGTAAGGAATCATATATTGACCTGTGAAGTCTTGTTAGAGCTGCCATGTCTCATTAGAGTTTAAATGTTCTTTTGTTTTGTTGTTTTTGTTTATTTTGTTTTGAGACAGGATCTTTCTATATAGCTCTTGCTGTCCCGAAACTCACTATGTAGCTGACCAGGTTGGCTTCATGCTTGCCGAGATCTTCCTGCATTCCAAGTACTGGGATTTAAGGCATGTGCCACTGTACTCAGCCGAGGCATTTAAATATTCTTAAAGAATTTCTCTTTTTAATGTGACTGCTGGGGGCTTCAAGTGAGGTCTGCCTTATAGTTTACCCATGTGAATGTTTCCATAAAACCCTACAAGCATTTAATTAGGATAACCTAGTCACATATAAATGATGCTACTAAGAACAGTTATAAAAAGTATAATTTCTGAAGTATTTTCTTCTTTTTTTAAAACCTTTAGGTTCATAGCCAAACCATGTGCCATAGCCCTCAACATCCAGGCCAGTGGACCACAAATTGCTCAGCCAAACGCCATTCTGGAAAAGGTCTTCACTGCTATAACAAAGGTAGGAATGTCTTCTAGGAAGTTGATTTCCCCCACAACCACCCAACCTGCAGTTGTTCCATCCCTTCTCTCCTGGGTTTTTACAATTAACTTTTCCTCCTATTGGACAGTGGGTGCTAAGAGAGAAGGTAGGTGTTATGATTGGACGCACACTGTAAATAGTAGATAAAGGACATTTGTGGCCTCTTGGTTGACTCCAGCTGATTTTACAAGCTTTCTGTGCAAAGGTCTTTAGATAGAGGGTTAGTCCAATCCAGTGCCTCTTTCAGTCTCAGGTGATATAAAGCATACAGTTAAGAGCTGGAAGGGAGTGACCAGTCAAAGCTTACAGTGTGCTGTATACATGTGTGAGAAAAAGGACCTCTTGGCTTATAGCGAGTTCCACCATACATTCCAGGGATAGTGATAGACAAACATGAACAGCAGTGAAGAAGACTTACTGTGTGAAGGAAAGAAGGAACTTGGTCGGTAGAGGTGGGATAGAAGAGATAGGCTGACAGTGCAGAACAAATGAAGAGATTAAAACACTTAGTAACAAAGGAATAAACCTATGTCTAAACTAAGAACAAGGTGAAGGGAACAGAGAGGGAGGGAAGAGGCAAGTGACTGGTACATATTTAAGCACTAAGAAGAGGAAAAGAAACATAAGAGACACTCAATCTGAAGGTTTCTCAAAAGGAAACAAGCTAACACAGAGTCCATATATCTTCCTCTCAGTCCCTAAGGTACCTACTTATCTCTCCTCACCCTTGGCCAGATAAGAAAGTGTAAGACAGGGGGTGTGTAGCATTCTGTCCCTGTCTATATCAAATGGTTCCTTTGACCCCTTTCAGTTTTCTGAAAGAATGAGACAGGTGTATAAGGTGTGATTTGACAGTGTTAAGTAAATGCTGTTCCTTTTTGGTCTGTGGTGGTAGCCGTTAGAACTGAGTCTCATATCTTGCCGTCTTCATTCCTACCAAAAGACTACAGGAGTTTTCTCTGTCCTCTGGAAAAAAAATGACATTTTTGCTAGAAAAATATGAAGAAAGATTAGGTATTCTTTTAAACATATCTGTAAGGAGTAGGAAAAGAATGAATGGAATTTTAGGGAAAGCTCTTTTTGTAGTTTAGAGGGGTGACATTGGACTGCCAAGTTCAGCCTCGTGGGACACATACCCTGTATTAGAGGAAGTAAATATTTAGAAAAGAACCTCACATTCCCATGTAGTTTACCTTACTAAAGTGAAATATCTCTCTCATTAGTCTCTGTATGTTTTTCTTAAAATTTCATCTTCAGATCAAATCCAGGCCATTATAAATGCTATGCAAGAGCCACATTCCCAGCCCTGTCAAGATGTGTTTGGTTGTAGGTTGGAGAATGTTGATGGAATAAGTACAGAACCTCGGAAATGCCTGGGGAAACTGTATCACTAAGTACATACAAACATGCTGGCTGCCATAGTCCCCTTTCCTCCCGCTACACTGGGCCCTGCAATGGGGGCAAAGTTCAGACAGGCCTTTCTCCTCTGCTATCTATAGGCCCATTGCCCCAATCCATGATGGATAGGTGACCTCCAAGGGCATCACAACCTCTGCTACAAGATTGCAAGTAGGCAAGAGGCTCACCTTAGCTAAGTCATCCATGAAGCACAGAGGTGGCTACCCTGCCCGCCCCATAGCAAGAAACCTCAGAGAGAAACAAACCCTGTCTCACATCTCCCTGTTGCCCTTGCTGGTTTCCAAACCCTTCTGGGGGAACCCCAGGCAGTAGCAATAAGTAGACTGGGGACAGAGGAAAGGAAGTAGGTGAATCCTGGGGGACAGGAGATGGGAACGGGCAATGAGTGCTTATTTGGGAGTAAGGCTCTATATGAGGCCAGATTCTTACGTGTCTGTAACATGCTCCTTTGCCTCATTAGATTTCACTTGCAAGAACACATTACATTACATTAAAGAGTCAAGTAGAATAAAGAGTCAAGTAGATATAAGCCATATAACACTAAACTCCCTTCTGAATGTGGGCCCTGCTCTATGGGACTACACTGGTCATCTTCTATGACTCTTACCTTTGACATCACCAGATGGATGGTATAGGTCATTACATTCTTGATCACTTTCTTCTGTTGGGGTGACATCTGGCCCTCCTTTCCCTGCCCTACAGGGAAAACTATCATATTTTAAATCCTACAGAGAACTTACCTCCCATCCTACAGGGAAACCTATCACATTCTAAACACCATAGAGAACCTATCACCACTAGGAAATAATTAGGATACTCAGTATTTTCCTGTTTTCTTACCTAGAGTTGGGCCTTTAGCAAGTTTCTTAACTTTTGGAGGCCTTAGAAACCTTTATGTAACATACTCACAGCCTTTCATGAGGGTCGAATAAAACAACACACAATGCACACAAATACACTGTTTAGTAAGTGGCACATCATCTATTTCAGCCAGTGTCTCCACATTTTTATTGCCTCACTAATGTGAGAGATAAAGTGCTGCTGCTGCTGCTGCTGCTGTATTGTGTTTTGAGAGCTTCTGATTCTGGAGTTTGGGGGTGGAGCCAAAGAACCACAGTCACTAATTGCTGAGCCCATTTAAATACACCGAATGATTATTTGTCACGGAGGAATATTTTGGAGTGCCTGTCTTTTGACTGGTTTCATTCCGTCATTTGAATACATTTGAGAGGATTTTCTTGTCATAGCTGTGAAACCAGCTACCTCACTTTCCTAATCAAGTAGGCTTTCCAGCTATAAGGGTAAAAATATACAGCACTTATGAAGCGGTGTTTCGTAGTGTTGAATTATCTTTTCCTGGGGAGACACAAAAACACTTATTGACCTCAGATAGGCACCAGTATCCAACAAAAGTACAATTTCACCAAAGTTCAGTTGGGTGAGACCAGTGGTTTTATGAGACATCCTACAGAGAGCACAGGAGAGGCATTCCTGACGAGCGTGTGTGTGTGACACACCAACAGCGGTAGTCACCACAAAGTCCCACCAGATCCCAGTGACAGCTGCATGGAAACTGCATAATGGAGTCCCAGTTTCAATTAAGCTTTTACTTCCTATATACTGGAGTACCTTACAAGATCCCTTGCAGATGGAAAGGGAATGGTGTCTGTAATCTCAAGTGAGGATGTCCTGATCCTCCTTCCCTGTGTCTAGTTACAAAGTGGAGGCAGGGGCTGCGGAAGTAGCTCAGAGGTTTAGAGTGCTTTCTGCTCTTCCTAAGAACCAGAGTTTGTTCCCAGACTCATGTCAAGTGGCTCACAAACATCTGGAACTCCAGTTCTAGGGGATTCCAGCATCCTCTGCTCTCTCTATGTGCATCTGCAGGCACTTGCTCATGTACATGAAAGCAGGCATGTGTGAGTGCTTTCTCTCACACACATATATAATAAATAATAAATAATTCTTACATAAAGTTATACCCATATTCTCTATAATTTGTCCTCGTTTTCTTCTTTCTTAAGGAAAATGTTGTCATTAATTTTAGCTAACCAGAAGATTATACAAGATTACTGGGAAAGTTTGTTGAGTTTTGAATATATTTAAACTGTAAAACCAAGAGAAGAAGAAATGTGAGGGATGGTGTCAGAACATAGTGTTAAGAGTGTATGTTCTTACAGTATAAAAAGGATACCACTAACTCCAATTGAGCAGGAAAAGATGGTAGGAAGGTTACTGATTGCACAATCACTTAATAGTTGGGAGGCAGCTGATCAGCAATGCTGGCAAATCCGGTAGCAGTAGAGGGGTATTTAACAGTGCAGAAACAAACTCTAAGAAAGATAATACTGTTGACAAGTGTTGGGTGGGGAGGACTAGGAAAGGGGGAGGAGGAGGAAACAATGGTAATTTTACTTGTTGCCTATGTGAATTTGAGCTAGCAAGTAGATAAGAGGAAAAGTCATTAAAATTAGAAAGGAGGAGGCAATTTTTTCCATTTAAATATTCATTCATTCAAAAAGTGTTTATAAATCTTTACTATATAGGTATCAGTGAAAAAGATATTAAAGATTTTATATGTTTATGGAGCTTGTATTCTGGAAATAGACTATTATTGTATACCTTTAAAATTGAGATAACTAAGACCACACAAAAACAAAAAGAATTACACGGCAAAATTACCAGAAATGAGTGGCTTTTTATATGCAAATGATCAAACAGCTAAAAGATTATAAGAAAGGATGTCATTACTTATAATAAAACCCAAGAAGCGTAAGTATTGCAGGACTATTCATTACACTGTGTATAAAAAGTACTTGAAGAAAACTTTAAGTACTCTTGGAGGTAATCAAAGACAATTCGAACAAAGATGTTAATTAACTTTTACATTAAGTTAAGAAATTGGTGTGATTTTTTTTTTCTTGAGACAGGGATTCTCATGTAGCTTTGGAGCCTGTTCTGGAACTCACTCTCTAGACCGCACTGGTCTCAAACTCACAGAGATCCCTCTTGCCTTTGCCTCCGAGTGCTGGAATTAAAGGCATGTGCCACCATCACCCGGTGAAATTGGTGTGAGCTTATTACAAATACCAAAAAGTTTATCTGGCCTTGTCTCAATTTTAGATACAAAGAACATGATATTTGTCATAAAAGTCTTGTCACATAGAAATATAAATACTTCTGAGTAAATTTCAGCACATATTACTGAGACATGGATAATAGACCAGTGGAAAAGCAAGGTGAGGTTTCAGTTGGGAAAGGAGAAGACTGCTGTCAGGATACTAGGTAACCATGTTGTAGAGGGTTAGAATCCTGCTTCCCACAGAATTCCAGTCTAGATTCAAAGTGCACCCTGAAATTGCTAAAAGGTATTTAGAATCATAATTTCTAGTAGTGATTACAGAAAAGATTGTTGATTTCAAATGTATTTTTAGTAAATAGCTGCATAGTTTTTTTTAAAGCAATACTTTAAAACAAATGATATACTGTCAAAAACCCTTTTACAATAGAGAAAAATGTTTAATCACTCTAACAATGAAGAAGTCCTATGAATAAATTTAGAAAATGTTAATAAGTTAAAGGCGGGTAAAGCTAGGCAGTACTGGAGCTTATTTCTTCACCTGAAAGCAAAGTCTGAGTGGTTCTAAACATAGAAATAAGCTATTTCTCTCATGACAAAGGGAAAATCAAAACTACGCTGAAAATCTGGTTTTCATTTATCAGACTGGAAAAGGTGGAGATGCAAGAAGGCTTTGAGACAAGACTGTTCTTTCTTTTGAGCATTTAAACAAATAAAGTTAGTAAATCTTCAATATAAAAAATTATGAGAGCACAGAACCCTTGGACCTATAATATTAGTTCCAGGAATGAATTCCACCATTTGCTGCAACACATCAAGCTTATTGTGTGTTAAAGCAACATTTAGAGGCTTGGGTGTTACCAAAATGTCCCTTAGCAGAATAGACTAGGAAGTTGGCATTTAGCCTTACACTTCGGTGTTCTCTGAACTGATTTGGAACCCATCCAAGATATATTTTAAAGAGAAAAACCGCAAGTCCAGAGCAAAGTCCACAGTCTGCAATAATTTGTGTGATTGGGTGGGGTATATGAATATGTATTCAGTTTTGTTTATGCAAAATAACCCTGCCCCCCCAAAAAAAAAGATTGGCTGTGGTTTCCTGTCAAAGGAAGAAAGGGGACTGGGATAACAGGGATGGTATTGGAATTAGATGGTTTTTAATTTGTGAATTGTGAACCTTAGTTTTTTTTTTTTCTCCCACCACTAATAAACTCAGAGATAAGAAAAAAAATATTTTTTTGTTGTCTCTAGGGCTGCGCCTCCTTCCTGAGTGGTTCTTGCCTATTTGTGGTCACTGATGCAGACAGTATCATTTTCTTCAATGGTGTAGCCACTGGGGGACTAGTTAGGAACAAGAAATTTAGAGGCAAAATAAGGAAGAGAGTAGAGGGTAGTGGGGGTGAATATAGTCACAATATGTTATATCTGATTATATATATATATATATATATATATATATGAAAAATATTCATTTTTATAAGGTAGATTATAACCAGTATAGGCAGTGACTCCCCCTGCCTCTCTCATATTTCAATTAAGAAAGACATAAAAGGAGATTGTGGATTCTCTTATTACCACTGAAAGGAACTCGGGCACCTGCCCAGCTGAAAGTTGGCAAGTTGCATTTATAGGGACAAGATCAGAACACTTTGTAACTGGATGCTCTTTGCTGTGCTTTTGGGGTATGTGTCTGTCTTAGTTGAATCGGGCCACCATGATAGAATGCTGTAGACCAGGGACTTAAGCAACAGACATTTAGCTTTCATATTTGTAAAGTCTTGTGAAGTCTGGAAGTGTGAGATCTGGGTGTCCATAGTGCCAGTTTCTTGGGGTTTTGGAGGAGAGGGAAGGAGTGAAGAGAGGGGGAGGAAGAGGAGGTAGGAAGGAGGTAGTGGTGCTATAGCAGCCAGACCTCACTGTGAGAACTCCACCCTTGTGACCTAGCCTCTCCCCAGAGGCTTCACCTCCTCACTCAAAGGAGAGGCTTTACAGATGAATTGTTGAGGACACAGACCCCTTGAGTTGCTGAAATGCTTTTAGGTCCTATGTATACATTCTGTTATGGCCCAGCCAGCGTGTCTTCTCACTCCTTCCTTTGGTTATTTCCTCTGATAGTCAGGACTAAAGTAAACAATAAATAATGGAATGGGGCTCTCTTGGCCGGTTTCGTTTATAGTAGGTTCTCTCTTGTGACTGTTGAAGAGAGGAGAGAGAGAAAGAAGACAGCTGACAGGTGCTCTGTTTAGCATATATTTTCACAGCCCTTGTCACAGTTACCTGGGAGTTAATAAACCACCCTTGTTTGTATTGATAAAGAGACCAAGGCTCAGAAAGGCTAGTGGGGTGAGGAACTGGGTCTATGCCTATCACCACACAAAGTCCCTTAGCCAATACACAGTGTTAGTAAAACTAGGTATGTGGTGTGGATCAAAGGGACAACAAAGGATTAAGACCAGGCTGGTGAAGCCCATAGAAACAGCTGACCTGAACAAGGGGGAGCTCTTGGCCCCCAGACTGATCACTGGGAAACCAGCATGGAATTGATCCAGTCCCCATGAATGTGGATGTCAGTGTGGAGGTCTTGGAAATCTATGGGACCTCTTGTAGTAAATCAGTACATATCCCTAGCATAGGAATAATGGACTCTGTGAGCCCATTCCATATAGAGGGATATTCCCTCAGCCTAGACACACAGGGGAGGGCCTAGGCCCTATCCCAAAGGATATGACAGACTCTGAAGACCCCCCCCCCCCCCCCATGGAAGACCTCACTCTCCCTGGGGAGCAGAATTTGTATGGGATAGGTAGGGTGTTAGTGGGGCGTAAGGGAGGAGGGAAGGGAGAGGGAACTGGGATTGACATGTAAAACAATCTTGTTTCTAATATAAATAAAAATGTAGGAAAAAAGGGGGAGGGATGACAAAGGAATTAAAGGTGAGGAATGTGAAGATTGGGAAAGAAGACTAGAGAGAATAAATGCATGTGGACACCTTAGCTGATACATTTTAGGATTTTCTGTGCTTTTTATTCTTTCTACATTATCTGTTTATAAGATAGGTCAATGTACTTATTTTTCTCTCTCTGAGAAGGTGAACTATTTGTTGATGTCTATAAATTTGTCCCTTGAAGGCTGACGGAACTGGCTTAGCCAGCTGACTGGTTCATCCTCTCTTGGTTGCTTTATAAGTATTTCCTGATAAGAAAATTCGCAAGATGTCTTATTTTTCTTTCTTGTTTCATAATGAGCAATCTAGGTATTATCTTAGTTCATGCCTTGAATGGATGGGCTGTCAGTCATAAATATTGAAATGTAGGCAGTAGAAAATAGAGGGGAAATCCAAGCACATAAAACTTGTAAATGGTGTGAGTAAAAAATGGATGAGAACGGTTTTCCTGGTGCCTTGTTTCATAGCATCCTGATGAGAAGCGATTGGAAGGGCTCTCCAAGCAGCTGGACTGGGATGTTAGGAGCATTCAGCGCTGGTTTCGACAGAGACGCAACCAGGAAAAACCCAGCACCCTGACCAGGTTCTGCGAGAGCATGTAAGTTCATTCTTCTAAGTTTTAAAAAGAAAAACCTGCCTCAGTCTTCATGCCAACCCAGACATGAAGAACAACAGATGTTGGCAGGTTCCATCAGCCTTCATAAAGAATGACACCTGGTGGAAAAATGGATCAGGAAAATCTGAGGGAACAGTAGTTGGTCAGGATTTGGGATTTCCAGTGTGGATCCAGTAAATAAACTTTACTTCCTAATGCAGTTCCTTCAAGGAAATAGATTTGAAGGCCTTCCATGGTGTTTTCAACCAGTCATCTCTGAAATCAAAAGGCATTACTCCTACATTTTGAATTGAGTAGACAGAATTTTATCAATATATATTTTCTGCTAATAAAAACTGAGATTTTCAGATACGTTAATCAAGGGAAAATAACAAAAGTCCTACATTCCAAGAGATGTAAGAAATAACTATTCTATTAATGTATAAATTTTAATGAGGCATTGCTTAATGGTAGGGAATATAATGGAAGTCTCTTTTGCTTGCAGAATATGAATTTCATGGCATGTAAACTATGTGCTAATAAAGATGTTTAAAAATAATAAAAGAAGGTCTGGGCAAAAGGCTCACTGGGTAATCTGAGTTCAGGTTCCCAGCAGTCATGGGAAAGATGGGTATGGTGTCATGCATGTGCAATCCTAGCACACAGGAGGTGGATCCTGGAGCCTGTTGAATGAATGACCTTGTTTAAAAAAAAAATGAGGTGAAAAGTGATTGAGGAAGTCACCTGCCAGACATCTATTTCACACCTTCACATGTTTGCACAAGTACATAACCCATACACATACTTCAGTGCATGAGTACCAGCACACACACACACACACACACACAGAGAGAGAGAGAGAGAGAGAGAGAGAGCGAGAGAGAGAGCGAGAGAGAGAGAGAGA